AAGCCAACTTACCGTCATCAACCCGTGCTCTGTTCTCTGATAAAGCACGCTGTTTCAGCCAATCAGAGCGCGCGTTATATGGAAACTTTATTATAAATTCTTATATTCACTGAGATTTAATTGCCAGCATTAACAACTGTCTGAAAATTATAACCAATCTATTGTTCTGGTTTGGAAGTTATCTCTTGAAAATGAATTTGGTCGTTGCTCAAATATTGATGTCGTATTATTTTTTGAATCCTTATATTCAATGAGATTTAATTGCCAACATTAACAACTGTCTGAAAATTAAAATCAATCTTGAGTGTTTTGGTTTGAAAGTTGTGTCTTGAAAATGAATTCGGTCGTACCTCAAATGTTGATTTCGTATTTCTGAATTCTCATATTTAACTGACACTTTACAACAACTGTCTATTTCTTTTTCTCGAACCGCGCCATCATTGGCTAATATTTATCGTCTAAAAGAGTACAGACACGTCGATGACTCGCACGGATCTTTAAGATAACTTTTCATTCAGATTAATCTCAAACAGGTTTTCATAGGAAGTTAAGTTTCAGATATAAATGTAACCTGATGTAACTTGAAGCTCATGATGCCGCGTGAATTTCGGTCTCATTTTGGACAAGAGATGCTCGGATGTTTTTTTGTTTTTTTTTGTAGCGTTTCCTCTCATCAAAACAAATGCAAATTACTCTTGACACTCAATTTTGACTTTACTACCCAACCCCATGGTTGCGTTGGTCAGCCGGCCAATTTATGTCCATACCAATTATCAGAAATTACATGTTGTGCTAGCTGTTGTGTTAGCACGCACAGGAACTGGTAGTCGAATCGAAATGAACATTATTGCATGTTAACAATTGTCTCTCTGAATATACCAGTTGTCTCAAAAGATATTTTAAAACCTCTTTATGACCAAGCGCGAGAGCCGTACTGGGGAATATGGGCTCGAGGCCGTGGCAGTATGGACCGAGCATAGTGAGGTCCGTGTAAAAAAAACCGAGGGCCAATATTCCACAGTACGGCGCGAGCAAGCTAGGTTAGTAGGTAATTAAGTATATAACAGGTTTTGGTTGAAAATTTTGAATTTGCCGGCTTTCGAAAACTAAAAATACATGCCTTATGACCACTTCCACGGAAACGAACAAAGAAAAAAACAATCAGAAGGCTCGGATCTTCCTCAAGACTACATTGCCATATAGTGATACGACATAAACATGGCACAATCGATAATCTGGTCAGTTAATTTCACGGGAAGTGTATTTCTTTGTCAGTGTCATTCGCCTTTCTTCTTTCGGCGTTTCCTTTTTGGTTTTCGTCGCTATGGTTTCGACTGAGCTGCTCGTTGTTCAAGCTCTCGTAACCGCCGACGTTTTTTCTCTAATTCAAGAAATTTCAAGAAACACGACGATTATTCCCATAATTTTCATTTTCCCTGCTTTCCAATGAGCTCCAAAGCGATCTTCACTTTGGTAAGTACAACTAATCCCTTATTTGTTCCTGGTATCTTAACCAGCTGAGAATAAAGTCAAATCTAGCCCAGACTAATTCCAAACTGGAAACTTTTTACGGCCTGTCACAATATAATAGAAATGAGTGAGTCAGTCATCGATCGAATTGTACAAACTATTTTTTGTCGGGACTGACGCACACAGTAAATTCATGGCCTCGATCTCGTTAAAGTGAGATTTTCCTCTAATACTTTGAAATTTAAAAGCTATTCAGTCTCAGGGTCAGACAATAACAGTATCAATCACAGCATTATTCGCGAGAAAATTACTCCTCGTGCGGTCTGTTCTCGTCGGGTCATAAAAATCCTCATTAAATTCCTCATACAAAAATTCCTTGTAGACAGCTATTTCTTTTTCGTTGTTGTTTTTGCTTGACACGTCAGCTGCTGTGAAACTGAAATGGTTTTAAGACATGGATAATTTATGCGAGGAACATAATTATTGACAGTAACACACCGACGACCCTCTTTCAACCGTTTTCATAGTGCTTGAGGAGAGCGGACGAAGTGTACACAGACTACCGCGCAACAGTAAGTTAGTCGTTATTTTCTTTACAACAGTGCATTATTTCGGCTTCTACTGATACAAATTAGGATATCCGTCTTACTGCTTATTCGAGGTATCATGAAAACCTGCTCTAATAATGTTGCGGCTTAGTTTTAAAGGCGCGTAGCTCCTGAATGAAATTTCCTTTCTAGCGCTAGTCAGCTAAGACTCTATTGTCGACCTGCTTTAGCAAGTGCTAATCGTCCCTTTTGACAGGTTATTAGAATCCCCCACTTTCAGGCTTGAGAGTAGACCACGATAAACAAAGAACACCCAAGAGAAAATGATTTTTCTCTTGGCACACTCAAATGCTCTACCGACGAAAACTGAAACAGTGTTGGGATGTTTTGCGCAAGGAAAATTACTGTACCAGTCATTCTCGAATTCCATTGTTCGGACGTGGCTTGATTTAGCCCCAGTAAAACTTTATCAGATTCTGTTCGAATGAATAACAGGAATAACTCAGGAGTTGACGGAAAATCGGACAAGACAATTTAGACCCGCGCGTATTGCAAGCGAGGTATAGTGCACTAAAGATATAGCTAGTAATGAAAGACACGTTTCTGTTACGCAGACCCTCATTAGCTCTTTGAGCTTATGCCTCACTCCTTCCTAGTTATCATATTAGTTAAACTGTGACGCTCATTGAGGAATTTTTCATCCCGCATTCCGCCAAACCTGCGTATTGAAAATGGCTTTTCTCGGAATTTCAGGAAATATGTCGAGTGTTTTGTAGTTTTCACTTTCCACCCTTTGCAATGCGAGTTTAGTACAAGGAATGTTTTATTTTGTGGCTTTTATCTTAACCAGTTGAGAATAAAAAAATGTGGCTCAGAGTAATTCCAAACTTAAAGCTTCTCTCGACCTGTTATAATGGAAATAAGGAAGCATATCAACGATCGGACTGCGCAAACTACATTACGTAGTAACTGACGCAAACAGTAAATTCACGGCTTCGATCTCGTTAAAGTGAGATTTTCCTCTAATAAGCTTCTAATATATACTTTGAAATTCAAAAGCTAGTCAGTCGCAGGGTCAGCAATTAACAACAGTATGGAACAACATTGGTCGCGAGAAAATTTTTCCTTGCGGCGGCCTGTTTTTATTTCTCTGTGAACATAGAGAAGGTCATAAATTGCCTCATACAAATTAAAGATCCCTTACAGAGAGCAATTTCTTTCTTTAGTTTCCGCCTTGCTCTTCAGCTGCTGTGAAACTGAAATGGTGTTAATGCATGGATAATTTATGCGAGGAACACAATTATTAACAGTAACACACCGACGCCCCACTTCAGTCTTTCTTAATGCTCGAGGAGAGCGGACAGCTGTTTACAAGCTACTGCACAACAGTAAGTTAGCTGTTATTTTCTTCTTTACAACAGCGTCTAATCTCGGCTTCTATCGATATAACTTAGCATATCCGTCTTGCTCATTCGTGAAAACTTTCATGAAAACTTGCTAAAAAAAACTTGAGGCTTAGTTTTAAAGGTGCGGAGTTCCCGAATCAAATCCCCTTCTTGCGCTAATCTGTTAGCAGTCTATTGGTGACCTGCTTAGCAAGTGCTACCATTGTCATGTCTCTTTTTTCAACAGGTTATTAGAATTGCCCGCATTCAGGCTTGAAAGTAGGCCATCATAATAAATCAAGAAACCCCAAATGTTTCGGCTACACTACCGGCCTTACTGTAAGGACGAAAACGAAAACAGTTTTGGGATGCTCTTTGCAAGCAACATTACTTTAAAAATCAACCTCAAATTTAATCGATCGGACACATGTTGCATTAGCCCCAATGAACGTCGTTCGTATCTGTCGATTTAGTGCCAACAAAACTTTGTACGATTCTCTTCGAATGAATAACGCGGGCGTCGACGGCGCGTCAAACTAGGCAATTTTCACCGACGTGTATCACTGTAAATTAAGTTTAAAAGCTTTGAAAGCTTCCCACATCCCGCTTGCAGAAGGGTTCATATTTGTATGTTCCTACCAATGTAATTCCGCTATATTTTTTAACTCGTCTGGTGTACGGCCAAATGCATCCGTGTTATCTGTTTTCTTGGAATTTCGGGAAACACCCGAATTTTCCGCAGTTTTCACTTTCCAAAGGGAACTTGACTGTGACACGTAGTTAATCTTGTATTGTTCGCCCTCCCAGTCGAGAATAATGTTTAGTTTTGATATTCATAAAATTACAAAGCGAAATTTATGGCAAACTCGATGCGGTTTAGCTCTGTGATTTCACGATCTGTTACAAGGGAAAATGAGGGAGGTGGTTCTTAAATAGAGTGTGAGCAGCAGTTAAGAGACGAAAGAAAATGGGATACTCTTGAAAACATGCGAAGTTTCTGCTGGATTTCAGTTCGTTGTTAATGAAAGAAGTGTTGGACGTTTGATATAACATGGCTCTTTGTATAGAAGAAAATTCTAGTTATGGTCGCAGTTTAAAACTGTGGTGTTGTTAAGGACTGATTCTATGAAATTGTCTTTTTCACGCGAAAAATCAAGTGGCATGTTCCTGAGCTCGGATGAAAAGAGTCGTACCTGTTTTGCCAAAATACACGCCGATTGACAACCGGAACTGAACTTGAAGACAACATGGACAACATGCAATTTGTTCAACCGTTGTACTTTATTTTTGTTGTTGGTGTAAAAGACAATTTCGGTTTTTTCGAGCGCACTTTTGTTTCAATGTTGGAGTTTGTGGATTATCTACAGAGCTTTCGTTTGAAAAATCCTAAGAGTTGAGAGGTTTTGTCTCCAGTGCATGGGGCTGAAAGCCAGATGGTGGTGGAGTCTTGTCTTCAACAACAACCCGCATTACACTGACGCTTCAGATAAGGGAGACCCCATGACTTGAAAGACTGAGACTTGCCATCTGTGGCAAAAAGAATGCTATATATAAACATTTGCACACTTGTAAAAATTTCATTTTCGTATGTCATTTGAGTGTGTAATCTACCGGGATACCTTTTAAGGTATCCAGACTTTAAAAAGTCTGGCATCTTTCCATCTGATCTTTGAGACCATGCACAACTGGAATCCACTGCAACCACAAATGGAGTCTTCTCCAAGAACTGCTTTTTATTCACAATTATTTTAGTCCGATGATGGCAGGTTCGTATACCGAAATTAAGAAAATATATGGTATGTTTTACAAATATTGTATTTGGTAGTTATATTTCCAGGCAATGAAACAAAAGAACTCTTTGCAGCCAATAGTCCTCTGGCGGGCACACAAATAACAATACGTGACGTTACCGATATTCTTCGATAGCACTCTTTTCCAACTTAGTTTTGTCATATCATGTCTATTGACACAATGAATATACTCGGATTATCCTTCACGCTCTATGTACTGAAACTATCAGCAGGTGCTGGGTTTTAAAAGTTGCGTCGTTTGTCTTAAACAAAGCGCGCCAGGCTTTCTACCGTAGGAAACTGAAAGCAGAATTCCAACAAGAAGTCAACAACAAGATGGCTATGATTTTGAAAGCTGGTAGGACGCCATCTCGTCTGTATTAAGCGAAGAATGTAAGGATGTAACCCACCGGCCTGCACGACATGTTTTCTTTGGTTGCTTTGCATGAATCTATTTGTATATTGAGTTGACACTACCGTACACCTTATTAATTTCGAAACACTCGTGATTGCTGCAATTCCTAAAGACTGGGAAACTGTGATACTGCGATACTAGACAACTTTCAGTCAAAAGATGAAACAATTGAACACGAAACGTGTCAACAATTCTGAAGCTACTGGCAAATAAGAACGCTCTGTGCTCGCGTTGTCCATCGGTGAGATCAATTGTCAAGGCCGTAGCCAGTATGAGGAAACCAAGGCACTTGCCTCAGCAGTTTTTTCGTTCCGGCAGTTTCTTTTTTGAAAGGGAAAAGTAGAAAGGCTGCTAAATACATACAGGAAGAGAATACAACCATGAGCAGTGCCTCAGTCATAATTTTTTCATGGACATTGCCTCAATCATAATTTTTTTCTGGCTACAGCCTTGATTGTTGAGCAGCATCTAAAGAATCAAAGTTTCATTAAAGGACGTGAAAACCATTCATGAATCGCTCTTCAAGATCAATTCCAATAGGAATTAAGATAAGAGATCTTCAGTACAAAAGCATTCATAGCAACAACAAATTATGCAAATAAACACCAAAACCTCGCCAGCACGTGACCACTGCAAACATCCCAATGAGACACCAGCACACGTTTTGCTAATGCTGTAATCACGTAGGAGACATGTTTGGTAAAGGTAATAATTGGTTGGTGGAATATTAAGCGCTCATAAATACAAATCCAAAAACAGCTACTAACTGGAATCCACCATTTCCTATGAGCAACCGTTTCTTTTTATAGCCAGAGTATCAATTACTTCTCTCCCAAATCAGGCCCGAAAACCTAAGGTTTTCCTTTTCTTCCTAGAGAGGAAAGTTTAATCTGTTAGAGACTGTAACTATGATATAATAAATGTGGACCACCCATTGCAGCAGGGAAAACAACCTAATCCTATACCCACCACACCAAACCAGCCAGTAACTTAACCTTTTTATTTGAATGCAGTTGGCCTATTTTTGCACACCATGCTTGCCAATACTATTGGTACACTTGCTCGAATTCCTCTTTTTGTTTCAGTTTCTATACTTTGTAAAACCACTGTTAAATTCCTTATAAGTTGGAATTATTGAGGTATCAATTCGATAAATTGGGCATCAGTATTCTTTCCTTCTTGGCCCTGTTTATGTACTTGGATTCGGAGAACGTTTACTTCTCACTTTGTTTACTGGCCATAACTTCCATTTCACTAAACTTCGCGGTCTGACTCTGACGCTGGGTGGTTTCTTTGACAATGCTTAAAGTAGACGTCTAGAGCAACTACTCTCCTTTCCTCGCAACGGTGGACCCCATTCAAACTTGAGGTGTCGTCGTGTTGGATGTCCCAGTCGGCACGTAAATGTTTCAGTACCTTGTCATGCAGACCACACATTTATACAACAACTATAAAAGCACTACGTCCTCGTACTCTCATCATCAGTTATTCTCCTCTCCTTTGAAAACCGTGAATTAACAAATTGACGTCAGTTTTTCATGCGTCTGTCCTGTTATTCGTCATAACATTGTCAAAGTATCTGGGGATCTTGAAGGGCAATTTATGAATGTCCATGATAGCCAAGTGGATCCGCGAGTTCACGAATCAGTTCACCCAAACGGCTTACAACGGCAAAGTAAGCCGTTTAGCAAGCCGTTTGCCCGCGTAAAGCCGTCAAAATTGGTGGCGGTTGACGTACATAAAATAGCGTGAGTGTTAGCGTCAAAACTTGCACATGTAGAAATGGAATTAGATTCGTTTTTGAGATTCAGAGGGGGTCTTAGGTCTTTGTTTTTGAAATTCAAAGGGGGATCTTCGGTCTTCGTTTTTGAGATTCAGAGGGGGTCTTACAGACCTGCCAACTCTCCCGGTGTTCCCGGAAGTCTCCAAATTTTTCATCAAATCTTCCGGGAACTACCTACTGTGGCTCTCTTTAATTTTTTTTCATCAATTTCGTTATTTTCGAGACGTCGGGAACGTTCGGAGGGCCTTCGGATGATTTTCGGAGAGTATTCAGATATTGCCGAAAATTATATTCTTACAATGCAAAGATTTCGCACTGTCTCCAGGTTTTTGTACTCTGTGGGTTGGCAGGTATGGTCTTAAGTCTTCGGTATTAGATCTTAGGTCTTCGTTTTTCAGACATTCATTTGCTTTAGTCTATTTCCTAATGATGCGAAGGCAAAGTAAGGTAAAGTTTTAGTCGCGACGGAGCTTGTCCTGGTTTACGTAGCATTAAGCGACTGTTGGTATTTCTGCTCTTCTGTAGATGGTCGCTAGTCCACAGCATGCTGGCACTTATTTGACACCTGAGTGGAAAAAACTAAAGAAGCATAAAACATGATTCTTCAGGTTATCTTTTTGCAGGATTTGTAGACAAGGAAGATATGAACAACATAGAAGACATTTTACAAGCCATCTGTATTGGCTTGGCTGTTGCTACTTTCCTTCTTAACACTGGTCGTGGTCTCAAAGCCATTGAGGTCTGCAAAGAATGTTTGATTTTCCTAAATAATGAAGTACTCAAAAAAGAAGACTACATTTTCAATTCAGTTAACATTGCCATCTATAAAACAATGTTCATGGCGTACTGTCTTTCAACTGATTATACAAATACAGCAAAATACGGCTGGAAACTTCTTGAAATTTACCGCGAGTGTGGCAAAACAGCCGAAGAAGGGAATCTTACTTTAACATTGGCCAACATTTGTGAACAGCAATTTAATTATGCAGAAGCAAGAGAACTTTACAAGAAAGGAATAAATATCATGAGAGAAATAGGCCACAGAGATGGAGAAGCATACGCTTGTGGGAAGTTTGGAACAATGTGTTATCGTCTCAGTGATTGTGATAAAGCTAAAGAATATTTTGAGAAGGCACTGGCCATCAGAATAGAAATTTGTGACAGAAACGGAGAAGCAAGCTGCTACGCGAACTTAGGAACTGTGTTTGAATCTCTTAGTAAATATGAAAAAGCTGAAGAGTATCTTGAGAAAGCAGTTGCCATCATGGTAGAAATTGGGGACAGAAACGGAGAAGCAAGCTGTTACGAGAACTTAGCAACTTTGCTTGAATCTCTTGGTAAATATGATAGAGCTAAAAAATGTCTTGAGAAAGCAATTGTGATCAGAACAGAGATTGGTGATAGAGAAGGAGAAGCAGCAGATTACGGAAACTTAGGAACTGTATTTCAATCCCTTGGTGATTACGATAATGCTAAAGAATATATTGAGAAAGCTCTTAAGATAAAAATAGAAACCGGTGACAAAGAAGGACAAGCAGAAGATTACGGAAATCTAGGAACTTTGTATGAATCTCTTTATGAATATGACAAGGCTAAAAAATGTCACGAGAAAGCACTTGCAATCACAGTGGAAACTGGTGACAGAGCAGGGGAAGCACTAAATTACGAAAACTTAGGAGCCGTGCTTCAATCAGTTTGTGAATATGACAAAGCTAAAGAATATCTTGAGAAAGCACTGCTCATCAACACTGAAGTTGGAGACAAAAAAGGGCAAGCAAGTTGTTACGGAAACTTAGGAGTTGTGTTTGGATCTCTTGGTAAATATAACAAAGCCAAAGAGTATCTTGAGAAAGCACTTGTGATACGAATTGAAACCTGTGACAGAGCAGGAGAAGCAGCAGACTACGAAAACTTAGGAATTGTATTTCAATCTCTTGGTGAATATGTCAAGTCTAAAGAATATCTTGAGAAAGCGCTGGCGATCAGGATAGAAATTGGTGACAGAGCAGGAGAAGCAGCATGTTACGGAAACATAGGGGCTGTGTTGAAGTCTCTTTGTGAATACGACAAAGCCAAGGAACATCTTGAGAACGCAATTGCAATCAGAATTAAAATAAGTGACAGAAAAGGAGAAGCAACAGATTACGTAAACTTAGGAACTGTATTTCAATCCCTTGGTGAATGTGGCAAAGCTAAAGAATATTACGAGAAAGCACTTGCCATCACAATAGATATTGGTGACAGAAAAGGAGCAGCAAGCTGTTACGGACACTTAGGAACTGTATTTGAAGCTCTTGGTGAATATGTCAAAACTAAAGAATATCTTGAGAAAGCACTTGTGATCAGGATAGAAATTGGCGACAGAGCAGGACAAGCAGCAAATTACAACAACTTAGGAGCGATGTTTGAATCTCTTGGTGAATATGACAAAGCTAAAGGATATCTGGAGAAGGCACTGGCTATGACAATAGATATTGGTGATAAAAGGGCAGTGGGAAGGTGTTACGGGAACTTAGGAACTGTGTTTCAGTCGCTTGGTGAATATGACGAAGCTAAAAAATACCTTGAGAAAGCACTTGCAATCGGAAGAGAAATTGGTGACAGACAAGGAGAAGCACGTTGCTATGGAAACTTAGCATCTCTGTCGAAATCTCTTGGTCAATATGACAAAGCTGAAGAATACCTTGAGAAAGCGCTTGCCACCCAAATAGAAATTGGTGACAGATATGGAGAAGCAAGCTGCTATGGAAACTTAGGAACTCTGTTAAGATATCTTGGTGAATATGACGAAACCAAAGAATATATTGAGAAAGCACTTGCGATCAGAATTGAAATTGGTGACAGAAAAGGAGAAGCAGCGGATTACGGCCACTTAGGAGTTATGTATCAATGTGTTGGTCAATATGACAAAGCTAATGAATATCTTGAGAAAGCACTTGCGATCAGAATTGAAATTGGTGACAGAAAAGGAGAAGCAGCAGATTACGGAAACTTAGGAACTATGTTTCAATCTCTTGGTGAATACGACAGAGCAAAAGAATATATTCAGAAAGCACTTGCGATCAGGATAGGAATTGGTGACAGAGAAGGAGAAATAGTAGATTACGGAAACTTAGGAGCTGTGTTTCGATCTCTTGGTGAATATGACAAGGCTGAAGATTACCTTGAGAAGGCACTTTCAATTGCTCAAGATATTGGAAACATTCGCGGCGAGATTCAATCTAATTGCAGCCTTTCAATGGTAAAGTTGTTGCAAGGGAAGATCCAGGAGGCTTTTGACTGTCTGCTCCTGAGTATGGACAAAAGCGAGCGTTTGCGTGGTTTTCTTAGAGACAACGATAAGTTTAAAATATCGTTTTCCGACGTTCACGATTTTCCTTATCGGACTCTTAGTTTATTGGTTTGTTTTTTTGGGAGTCCCAACGATGCTCTTTATGTTCTAGAGCTGGCAAAAGCAAGAGCTTTAGCTGACTTGATGACGACTCAGTACTCCGTTAAATGGCAAATCTCAGCTAACCCAAAGACATGGTATGGTATTGAGAATATTATGAAGAAGGAGCGTAACTGTACATGCTTGTACATTTCTTACGAAGCTCAACATTTGTTTTTGTGGATTCTCAAAACAAGCGGTGTCATTCATTTTCGAAAAAAAAGAGTAGACGAGAGCATTGTTGGTACAGAATCACTTGGTAGTTTAGATGAATTCTTTGATAAAAACTTTCGAAGTTTTGGTATTTTACCCGAGGAAGATTGCGAAGATCGCTCTTTAAGTCCCATTGAGCCAGAACCGAAGTCATACCAAGATGAGGGCCTCTCGGCTTTGCGACTTGTAGAAGATGATAACGAAGAGAGTCAGAATCCCGAATCACCACTTTCTTTGTGTCACAGAATGCTCATCGGTTCTGTAGCTGACTTGCTACAGGAGCGCGAAATCATGATTGTTCCTGATCTTTCCTTGAACCGAGTTCCATTTGCGGCATTGAGCGACGAAAATGGAAAGTGTTTATCCGAGACTTTCAGGATTCGCATTGTTCCTTCTTTGACGACTCTCAAGCTGATTCAGGACAGTCCTGCAGACTACCACAATCAGACTGGCGCCCTAGTAGTGGGGGATCCAGATGTTGGTAAAGTGCGTTACAAGGGAAGCAAAACGAAGTTTTCCAGGTTACCCTATGCAGGAAATGAAGCAGCCATGATTGGGCGACTGCTGGGTGTCCAGCCTTTGTTAGGCCAACATGCAACAAAGCAGGCGGTACTTGAAAGATTACATTCAGTGGGTCTGGTTCATTTTGCTGCACATGGAAATGCCGAAAGAGGAGAAATTGCCCTTTCTCCCGTGCGCTCTTCCAATAAGATTCCAAAAGAAGCTGATTACCTATTGATGATGTCTGACATTGCACAGGCTCAACTGCGAGCTAAACTGGTGGTACTTAGCTGCTGTCATAGTGCACGTGGACAGATCAGAGCCGAGGGAGTTATTGGAATTGCTCGGGCGTTCTTAGGATCCGGTGCACGGTCAGTACTGGTGGCACTTTGGGCAATAAGCGACACTGCTACAGAGCAGCTGATGTGTCGTTTCTACGAGCATCTTGTTCGAGGGGAGAGTGCCAGTGAATCTCTTCATCAGGCCATGAAATGGATGAGAGGTAACGGCTTTTCCAAGGTTTGCGAATGGGCACCATTTGTACTGATTGGAGATGACGTGACGTTCGAGTTTGGAAAACAAGAATAATAAGAGTAAGTTTCCTTGAATTAGAAAAGATCTGATATTTCGCTCGGCTCAAGCCGGCAATAACCTTTAACTTGAACCTGTAAAAACTGCGTTTCAATACAAATAGTGCGATCCAAATTGTGGTAGCCAATTTGCAACGAGACTTCAATCATTGAAATGTAGGACGGTTTCGTCAGATTTTCAGTATATTTATACTCTCGCCAGCTATCACAGCTGTTATAAACCGTTGAACTGTTAATAGCCTCGTGCATCAGACGGAATGATCGCACCTTGCTTCTCACGGGAAGGTTAAGCAGTTGAGGTTATTTTACCCTGTTTAGATGAGGGAGCAAATTAATTTATTCGGCGAGCGAATCTGTTACAGAGGCACTGATTAGTTATTTTCATGTTCTGTTTCAGAGACAGTCTGTGACTGACTGGGTAATTTTTCCGTTCTTGCGTGAACCCAAAACAACAGCCGTGTCTTCCAGGTAGTCAAATCTAAAATAGCCTCCACGGACTACCATTCTTATTTATTTTCAAGCCCCTGGCTTGTTGTGTGAATATAAAAAACTTGAATCGAACGGTCAATAATTCCGTCACAAGACTGATTTGTAAAACAGTGGAGAAGTGATAAGTGACCAGTAAGTGAGTGAGTAGTCAGTAGCAGTGATCAATACCTGATTTCCCGATAAAAAAAACCCACTATATTGTCCTCAGAGAGGTGATAAGATAATAGGAAATCATCAAGTAGGAGATATTGTCTGGAAGTAACACTACATTCTCAGAGCTTACGATAACAAAAATGTTTTGAGCTGAGTAACAAGACCCCAGAAGGGGTGGGGGAGGGAGAAAGTGGAGGAACCTTACGTGGATTGCATCGAGCAGACGCACGCTCAGCATGAAAAAAGGTTATTTCTTCCTACTAACTCAAAGTCAGCTCCTTTTCCATCCAGGGTCACTTTTTACCAATTTTGTGATTTCTCATTTAAGCAGTTTCCAGTTAGCTCTGTATCGAAATGTATCAAAGGTCTCGAGTGACTCGTTATGGGGGCACAATATTTCTCCATGTAGGTAGGCCCTCAGCTTATCCAGGGTTGGCGTGACGCTTCATTTCATTTTTTCAGCCTGAAAAATCAGTTTTAATCTTTTTATTTTTGTCCGTCAGTTTTTGATTAAAGTACGAGAAGTGAAAAACAATTTTGCACAAATTAGAGGAGCTGAAAAAAAAACAGGCTATGCAGTGAAATTGTTGTCAGTCACCTTAAAAGCGAGAATTAAAACCTTGATAGAGTCTCCAATAAGTGATTTTTTGGCTCGATAGCGCATGACTGAGCAAGAGCGGACATGAAATGTCGATCTTGGTTTCATAGCTCCAAATTGCTTCAAGAATACGGCTTTGGCTACGGGGCCACTGCATAGCCTGCTGCCTCCTACCCGCACAACCCGTGTGAGAGACCACAACTTCGCTCTACCACTTGTAAGGGCAGAGCGTTTTAAACGAATTTTTGTAAATAGACGCCTTTTTTTATTAGAATACCCGTACTTTACAATACTAACGTTACATACAGCGTTAACATTACTGCTTTTTTAAGTTTATTTAATTTCCCTCTTGATTTTAAGCCATTTCTTAGCTATTTTACTCTTAGATTTGAATGTATTCTTATCTTTTTTATTACCCCTTTTTTATTGTAAATTGAAAGGGATGTTTTGAATCTGAGTTTTTAATAAAGACTATTATTGTTATCATAAGCTGTAAAGGTGGCTGTTCTCAGCACACTCACCAGTTATACTTAAAATTTGACGGGTCAATACTCCCACACTTATCAAGTGATGTTAGACTATTGGCATCACACAAATGACCGGTAATTGATGAACACGTTGTAGTCATCTTCATGGCATAATAGGGTACCATAACAAAGATCTAACCCGTAAAAAAAGCACCCTTAAATTTAGCTTTTTGTGCTTATAATTCAAACCATCTCAGTGAAATCCCCATTTTGTATCATTGATTGTGATAAGCATGTTAAAATACGACTTTTTCCAAGTTTAAGAAAATGTTGTAGGAAGGGTTGAGAGCCACCCTAAACTGTCGAAAGTTTGAAATGCTATGAATCCTGCCAACAGAATATTTTAAATTTTGTAGCATATTGTATGATACCAATATTAATTCTAGTGTTTATCCGTCAAAGTATAAAGTGCTGGAAACTGTTGCCAGCCTTTCTTAAAAAAATCTGTTGAAACTGGCTTTCTGCTCTCCAAAAGGCTCTCTCTCGCCTGTTACTTTCCCCTACCCAGTCTTCACACGCCCGCTTGCACGCGAATACGATGAAGCCTCCAAGGAGAAGAGTGACTACTCGGTGTTTGTTCTCTCTATTTTGGTGTTCATATCATGAGCCCAATCCTCGGCTCGGCCTGTAAATAACCTACTAGTGCGTATTAGGTTAGTATAATGACGCGTTTGAAATTTAATGTGATTTTAATCTAGTCCTGCTATATTTAAGAAATAGAAAACATGTACCGGGTTTCTATCAAGTTTTATTATAAATCTACCAGCATTCTATCACGAGTGCCGTTCTCTGATTGGCTAAGCTACTCACTATAGATTCCATGTTGCCGTGCGTCTGTTCAGTAATAGATCACAGATGACGTCAAAATGTGGTAAGAACAAAAAAGTGGCACGCGAGGCGATAGCCGAGTGTGTCACTGATGTTCTTACCACATTTTGGCGTCTTCTGTGATCTGTTACTGAACAGACGCACGGCAACATGGAATCTATTTGTTTTATATAATAACGAAACAAACTACTACAGATAAAGCTTTGTTTA